CATCTCATAATGATGACACAATGTCTATTTTCTTCCTTTTGATATGCTATTAGGAAGGAAGTTCTTGATATTTATATAATTAAGCTATGATATAGTTAGAGACGACCGTCATTAGAGTAGCTTCTTCTTTCTTTTTAGCGCTTCTTTGCTCTCAATCTGCTTCGCTATTTTTCAGCTTTTTCTTCCTTACTCATTTTTCTATACTATGTTTTATCATGTGATGATGAAAGTTTAGTAATGAGAGGTAGATGCGATAATATTGGTTTCTAAACTTGTAATTCTTGGCAAGTGTGCGATTTTTTGTTGCGTTTATAGCTAATGTTTAGTCACGCCTAATCAACGCCTAAGCATGTTAGGCGCAAGACAGAGCCTCAACGCTAACCTTACGCCTAGCGCTTTCTTTAACCTTAGACATGCCTCCTAAATATACAACCATTAATAAAGTGCAAATCTGCTTGATACTGCTACTGAATACTAATGTCCCACATAATTTGTCTTTTTTTTTTTGCCAGTAGATTCCTCTGAAAAAGAGGGCGAACAAAGTTCACAGATACAAGAAACCTATCTACTACGTAACCAAGCAACATAGTCGAACCTCGCTAACAGACGAGGCGACAAACCCAGAGCATGTTTTGCTACCGAATGAGCTACTCTGTTGTTCAAACGTCCAACAAATTGGAGGGATACCGAGGAAAGAACTTGAAGAAGCAATACAATTTCCTAGAGCAAAATCCCTATCGTGGAATCGCAGGTGTTGCCAGCACGACATTTGTCAAGAATAACTTTAGCATCACCTTGAATGTGGATATTTCGAAGCTGAGCTTGAGTACAATGCACTAGACAATCACGTAAGGCCAGAGCTTCAAGAACATATGGGTAACTATAGGCAGTATAACGAGTCAATTTAGCATCCACGATATCTCCAGAGATGTGGCGAATGACAAAAGCTGTTGAACCGACCTCTCCCTGTCGAGTACCTGCATCAAAAGATCCCACAAAAAGCGCATTTGGCGGCACTTGAGGAGTATTGGAATGAATTGTTGCTGCTGAAGTAACTGTACTGTGTTCCTGCAGAAGGGCATGGTCATTCTCCTGTACTTGGTGCCATTGTGCAGCAAGTTCTTCCACACCGACCTGCTTGTACTCAAAAACCACTTTACATCGATTTTTCCATATCCTCCATAACAAACAAATTACCTGCAAGTAGAGGTTGTCTAAATCTTCACCATTCTACTTGAACAACGAGTACCTGATGAAGCCTATGAATGATCTTTTTTCCCAACGACCTAGATACCTATGCATACCCACCATCCTCCATAATCGTCGAGCAGTCGGACAACGAAAAAACAAATGCTCAATAGTTTCTTCTTTCTTACCACACACCGGGAAAATGGGAATGATATCCATCCCTCGCGTTACTAAAGTTTCACGAGTCGGGAGGATTCTGTAAACACATTGCCATAAGAAGAAGTGTAATTTTGGCAGAACTTTCCTTCCCCAAATCCAATTCCAAACCGAAGGTTCCATGAGCGCAATACGAGGTTTGGACGAAATCGGACGACAGCGCCGAAAGGCAAGATGAAAAGCAGATTTAACAGAGAAAACCCCACTGGATTCATACTGCCAAATTATTGAATCTTTCAAAATATGTTGAGACAGCGGAATCCCTTGAATAAGGGCAGCCGAATTCGAACCAATAAAATGCTGAATAGCCGCCGAATTCCAAGTTCTATTACCAGGATCTATGAGACTTGAAACACGTAGAGCAGGATTAGAGTTACCTGGAGCTGATTTGGGAATGATCGGCGGGTCACCTGTCACCCAAGGATCCTGGAAAGCACGGATTGAGACCCCATCGCCTACTTGCCACCTGATACCCTCACGTAATAATTCCCGACCAAAGATGACACTCCTCCACCCCCAAGAGGGATTACTCCCCAAACCCTCCCCCAGGTAATCACCCGAATCCCTAAAGTACCGACCCCTATAAACCCTTGACAATAAACTCATTGGATCCTTCAGCACACGCCACGCAACCTTGGCAAGAAGAGCCTGATTGAAACAACCAAACTCGCGGAAACCCAAACCACCTTCCTGTTTAGAAGTGCACTAGGCCAAGCTCGCCAATGAATACGACGTTGACCCTGAACAGCTCCCCACCAAAATCTTGCCACCAAAGCATTCAGCCTGTTGATCAAATCTCTAGGCAGCCGAAAACAAGACATGATGTAGATTGGAAGTGTCGCTGCCACTGATTTCAAAAGCACCTCCTTGGCTGCAGCGGAAAGAGATCGATTTTTCCACCCTTGGGTTGGGGCACAACACTGAGTTTTTCCTCGACGAAACGAAAAGTCTCCAATTTTGAACGTCCCAGCAATGAAGGAAGGCCTAAATAACGATCTTGCAAGCCAAATGAGCCCACTCCTAAAAAAGCCCCAAGCTCCTCTTGGCCCTAGGGCTGGAAGTTTGGTACCGGTATTTGGGATATACCGAATACCGTACCGAATTTGTCTATATTTGGTATTACCGAATACACGTATTATTTTGTGGGATTGGGATTGGGATTGAATTTCAATTGTTATTTGGTATTAGGGATTACGGGATTGGGATCGGTATATACCGAAATACCAATCAATACCGAAATATAAGCTAGTGTGTATTTAATCCTCTCAACTAGACTCTCTCATTCACTACTACGCGACCATCAACCACCAAATTCGTCATTTAATTATTCATAGATCATTATATCACACTATTTCACACTAGTATTAGTCGTCTCTCAACCTCAAACTCTTCAAATTAAAGATTATCAATTACAAGAATTTGAGATGTTAGCTCTAGGCAACTCAAGACGATTTGCTTAGTCTCTTTGCCCTAAATTAAACAAGAAAATCTAATTTATATATTTAATTATTAATTGTAAAGGTAATTAATTATGTATTCGATAATACCGATTGGGATACCGAGGTACCGATTGGGATACCGAAATTATTTAGGGATTGGGATTGGGATACCGAAATTATTTAGGGATTGGGATTGGGATTGATTTTAGGGTGTAATTTGGTATTCGGGATTTCGGTATTTGGTATTGGGATACCGATACCGTACCGATTTCCACCCCTACTTGGCCCGATTGACCGAGGTTTGGACTGAAACACACGGCGGACTTGTGTACTTACTGGGGTTTGAACGTCCCACATAATTTGTCTACTTACTTGGGTTAGTAGCGTCCGGCCTTACCGCCTTAGTGGAGGTGGCACGGAGGAAGAATTCTGGCGGGCGAGGAGTGTGGGCCTGGGTATACCAATCGTCTTAAAAAAGGGGCTCGGCCTGTTATCATTAGTAATCAAATCAGGCATTAGGCCCAAGCGAAAAACCTATTATCGGATACTAGCTTTTCACCCGGCCATTGGCCGGGAGGTTTTATTGATTTATATTAATAATAACTAGCTTTTCACCCGGCCATTGGCCGGGAGGTTTTATTGATTTATATTAATAATAATAATTCAAAATTATTTTACAAACTACTTTGGATGTTCCAATATTGTAATACATTTTTCACGGATATTGTGTTTTCTCGTGTATTATTTCAACACAAGTTAATTATATATTAATCTAGTCTAGATTAATTTTTCAAATTAAAATTCAATATTTAATTCAATAATATTTTTTACATAAGGAATCCATATTTATAAGTTAAGATACTCAACTCATCATCAAAAAAATATCAAATGTTTACTAATTAAATCATAGACGTATGTTGAAATTTCTCAATTTTCATGTCAATTCAAGGTAGTTCAATTTTTTTATACCGACGCATGCTTTTGTTATACCTTTTCTAATAAATTTATTTTAAATAATAATTTATCAAGTTCGAGACCGGTTCGTATGTAACAAATTATGTACTAAAATATTAAAATTTATTATATTATACAATTTTCAAAAATCAATAATGGATGGGAACAACATAGACAAAATATCTAAAGTCATCATATTATACAATTTGCAAATTCATTACATTCTTCATGCTGCAATTAGCGTGATTGGAACAAATTTGTATACGGTAATGAGCAAAGAAAGCAAGGAACAACATAGACAAACCAAAAGTGGGGAAAATGGGATGCAATTAAGTGAAGCAACCGGTATTATCGTCCTTAAGCCAAATAACTGCTTCAAGGCCGTGAATATTAAGCGGCCAGAGTTCTTAAAATCTGATTAAAGTAACCCATGATGTATCCTAATATCAATCGGCAACATGATGAAGTATGAGGATGCGAAAAAAGAGCCATTAACAAACTTGCACCACATACTTACAGTGGCAGAATTATAAGGAGGATTCCGTTGTGCGTTTCCATGAGCCGATTTGCAGTCGCTGTTGAACTTGAAGGATCAGCAACTGCAAAACAAAGCAGAGTCCAAAAAGAGGTAAATTTTGAGCATGCCGGCCGGAAGTTAGAAATCGCAGTAAGCAAAACAATGAAGGGATCTAATGGGGGTATAAAGGCACAACAACAATCCATACAACCGGACAAATTAAGGGGCAAAAACATTTGATTATGAATTAAAATTGCCGGGTCGGCGTGATCGGACAGAATCTGGGGAGGGATTGTGTCGATGGGGTTATGACTTGTGAGGGAGGAAGTTGTCGTGAGAAACATTGGGCTTGGGCGCTTGGCCAACTGCAAAAATAAAATAGAACGGCGCCCTAATGGTGGAGGAAGGGAAGATAAAGAGTCGGCCGCCGTTAGGGAAGACAACGGTTTCCCAACTGCAAAAATAACAAAATACGACGGTGAATGGATGCAGAAAGAAAGGCTGACGTGGACACGATGAGCTTTCAGTAAGGCTTACGTGGATTGGGTGCAAAACTAAAAGCCCTTTATATATTTTATAGACAATCCCCGTTCCCCTGGCGGGAAAAAGGCACCAAACTTCGCGGGAAACAAAAGGAAACTTCTGGAACACGATCAAAATTCCTTTTTGGATTTAAATTTTGAAATTTCGGATTTACCTTTGGCGATTCCCGATCCCCTCATTTCCCCGCTCTCGCTCAGAAGCAGCAAACAGAGTCGATATTTTCAGTTCTCCGGCGATTTCCTTACTGTTCAGAGCTTTCATTAATCCATGGCGGAAGAAGAGGAGAACGTTGAAGAAGCGTCGATTCGGACCGAATTCCCGGCCGGCCGTGTGAAGAAGATAATGAGGCTCGACAAGGAAGTCAACAAGGTGACATCGGAGGCTCTATTCATAGTCTCGCGCTCCACGGAGCTGTTCCTTCGGTTCCTCGCGGAGAAGTCGGCGGAAGTCGCCACCGAGAAGAAGCGGAAGATAGTGAAGAGCGAACACCTCCGAATCGCCGTCAAGAGGCACCGACCGACCAGCGATTTTCTCTTAGACTCGCTTCCCGCGCCGCCAGCTCCCCAGTCGCAGGAAGAGGCTTCTGTAGGCCGCAAGCGCGAAGTTGCTAACAAGCCGGCACCGGCTGGAACTCGCCGGATCGATGCTTTCTTTGCTAAATCAGCGAGCGGTGCTTCACCTTCAGCCTGAGAATCGCCGGTGGATAGCTGTATTTCTCTTTTCCTAGATCTCTATTGTTCTTCGAATTAGGTTCTGTTTGGATTGTAATGTCATCTTCCCTCGATTTTCATATTAGGTATTTGAAATTTTGAATGCTTTCTTGTTGAGAGACGATACTTAGTGAAGAACAAGGCTGTAAACTCAGTATTAGGTTTACTAGTACTGCAACTTTACATCTTCATTGTAAGAATACATCAATCTCGAAGCAAATTTTATTTTTACTGAGACATAAATACAACCGTGCTCATCAACCTAACTGAAAGATGGTAAAATGTGTAGCATTCTATAGCATAAACAAAGTCTGGAACAGTAGATTCTTCAAGGGGACAAGGGCCCAGAAAATGTTGAGAGTACTGAAGCTGTTTCGTCTTGAAATCGTGGAGTAATCCCACGATGAGTAGGGAGAGGAATTTTAGTTTCCTGCATTTTCTTCCCTTCCTTTATGTATGATATGGCTTGAGTTGCAGAATAATTGATGCTATTGCTACCCAAACGTTGGATGCTCATAGACAGCTTTCTGTTTGAAGGGGTGGCATAGCTTAAGCCTCCATTCAAGCTTCTGTTGGAAGGGCGTCGACTACTGGTGCTTGGTCTCGAGGTAAAGGGGGGTTCTGGTTCTACTTGGATCTGCACCTTCTTCGTTTCCTGCTGGGCCATCTCATGTAAGGTAAGAGCAGAAATACAGACGGTCAGGCTATGTACAATTTCGTCATTTGATTTAAAGTATCTAGATGAGCTGCATTTCCTGATGTGAACTATGGGATTAGAACAAGTTGTAGATAGATCTGACTTGTATGGACATATTCAGTCTGGTGGCACTCACCTTTTGCCTTCGCTTTTCGTCCTCTTTCTCAAGCCTTACCATGTTATATTCTTCTATCATTGCCATCAAAGGTACCTATATAAGAATCTTGGTTTGAGATTGAAGTGCATTGTGGAGATCAATGCCACACAGGTATATAAAAGCACGCTTTGCCAACATTTACTAGTTGTGCAATTCATTGTCTTACATCATCGTACAAGAAGACTTTCTTTCTCTCTTCTTCCCAACTCTTTGTTTTGGAGACAAGCGAACCTAACAAATCTGCATGAGCAAGTTTAATGTCAGCATTGTCCGACACACAAGTTGAAAGACAAAAAGTTATTGCCTGCTTAGCTTGCAATGACTTATCTCCAGAAAAGTTTAATTTCTTAGTTGCTGTTGTAAAGAATCCATAATTACCTCCTAGTTAGCAATTTTAGGCCTAGTTTGCAAAGGTTAAGATATTCTTTAGCATTCCTTTATCTTTCCAGGTGTTTAGAGTGGAGGTTGTGCGTTTTTGGCGTATATGTTGAAGCAGGGAGAGGCTCCATGCAAAATCACTCTAGAGTGAGTTTCTAAGATTACCTGGAATCTTATTGACCAGGATTCTGGCCTTTTCTGCACGTCGCAGATTCCTGTGAGCTCCTCTGCTGACTGAATACCGATTCTCATCCTGAAGCATATATGAAGTGTTAGTTAGGATATTTATATTGAGCTGGTAGAATAATTATGTTTGTTGATTTATTCAGTAAGAACTTGACCATGCTATATTCTTCCAACCAACGCTCCTCGTCTCTCGCCAGCATCAACTTTTCAACCTTTTCCATTATTGCCTTCCTGCTGGATGCTTCTTCTTTTGCTCTTGATATTTGTTCGTCCATGCTCATAAGGAGATTTGCATGATCAATCTCACCTTCATGTGTATACTCAGTTAGTGTTGAACCACTAAGTTCAGTACAAGTATCTTTAGGGACCTCCTACAGTACCTTGTGTTTTTTGTAAGTTAGGTAACTTATTTTTTTCTTGCACAAATCTGGGCCATTAAAATTGAAAATAGAACATTACAGCCATTGATGAGAATTAAAAAAAAAAAACACGCTGATGGGGAAACCGGCTGTACCGGTTACGGCTGGCCGCCGAAAATCTCGCCTGAGAATGCAACCGTACCGTGTTCCCATGCCAATTAGGAGTCGGTGAATTTTGTTTATCCTAAAATTAGGTTTTCCAATCCAATAGTGCTTAATCCGCCGGGATCCCTTGTCTGCCGCCGCAACCACAGCCTCCCCCTTATACGACGACACCCGGCACCCCACAGGACTGATCGGAACCGTCGGTGCAGACAGGTACACGACCTCTGCCGGATCATCTCCGGCGCCACGGAAGCCAAGATCGTATCGACGGTACGGTACCATAAATCGCATACTTCTCCAGAACCTTCTTCTCCGATTTCAGTTCTGATCTTCGATCTCAATCAAGTGTCCGATTTCAGTTCTGATTTTCGTCCTCCATTGAATCGACGTTCGCCTCACACTTCTTCTCGCTGCGGCTGGAGAACCCGTGGTGTCGGTTTCTACAGGGCGCCTTCAATATCGCCGGGCGTCTTCAATCTCGCCGGTGGAGGGCGATTTTAGTCGATTGAGAGGGAGAACGGATTGGATTTCTGTTTCTCACTTCCATTTTTCAGATGAACAGTCGAAATCGAGAGAGGGAAGGAGAGGCTGAGCGGCGCCGATTTTCACAATAGGTTAGGGTTTTCGTTCCACTTTCTCCTCCTTCTGTCACTCGATCTGTCTTCCTCCCCAAACCACAAACCTTTCCTCCGCACAGAAGAAGAAGAAGAAGAGGTCGGTATCCTCAATCTCAGCTTCAATTCCCTGTTTTTTGCAGACAGCCATGGTTCCAAATTTTATGCAGAAACCAAACCATCTCCCAATTCAATCCAATCCAATCCAGCCAGCTCTGTTTTTTGTTTCTCTGGCTTCGCTTTTTCCAGCACACCCACACTCCACCTGTTCTTCCCCCCTAACTACTACGACCCTTTCCCTTTGTTTAATTGTTTGATCATTTCATTAGTTTCTTCGTCGCTTTATTGTTATTGGTTTTCGAAAATGAATTCCAGAGCAGGATGTGAGATGACAGCTGTTTAATTCTCTTGTGTCATGGGCTGCTTATTTTTATTATTTTATTTTTGTTTGGGGATCTCGGTTGAGATCGAGTTGAGAAAGGGTCAGCTGGTAGCTTTGCTTTTATTGTAAAAAGAAATGGTAATAGCTTTGATTTGTTTTTTAATAAGCAATTGGTAGCTTTCATGTGCCTGCGTGTGTCCTCTGAAACAATTGGTAGCTTTGCTTCCCTTATTCATTTTGAAGGCAACCCAATTTTTTGGGGCTCTAACTCATTGTCGTACATGTTTGATTCAAGTTGTAACTGTAGTTTCTGCTTGTCCACTTTAAAGATGAGCAAGGTCGATGAAGGTGTCTCCTCCGAACTCAATGATGAAAACCAACAAAGAAAAGAAAAGGTAATTCATTACATCTATTACCGGTCTCTTTGAGATTACTGTATGTGGTTAAGATTTTGATGTTGGTAAAAATTATCTTAATGAAAACATTATAATGTAGGTGTATTTGAGCAGTCGTTGTGGCGTACAAGAATTCTCTGGCCTTATAGATAGTTTGTCCGACGACAAAAAGCATGTCATTGAAGATATGGGATTTGGAGGGCTATTGCATTTGAAGAAGCATAAGTTGAAGTTGAAACTTTGTGAGGAACTTATGATGAGGTTTGATGTGACTACTAGTCAACTAAACGTGCATGGTAATCGTTTGACCCTACGTGTTGATGATGTTGTCACCATATTGGGTTTGCATGGTGGAGGCATGAATGTGGATACTCATCTTGGTGAGGGAGATGAAGTGAGGGTCAGGTTTAATTTGGGTTATGGACAAATTAAATGTTCAAATCTAAAAACAGATATGATGAAAGATCTCACGGTCGGTGATGAATTTAGAGGGAAATTTCTTTTATATTCAATGAGTAGACTTTTGAGACCGTCTACTGCAGTTTATGTTCCCAATAATTATTTGAGGATATTAGGCAATATTGATGACGTGGGAAACTTGAATTGGGCAAAATTTGTGTACGATGGTCTTTTAGAAGGAATAAAAGACTATCAAAACAAATTGGAAGGCACATCAAGAGAACAATCTGTGACGGGCTGCATTTTATTGCTTGAGGTACGTTAGTAGTAACTTTTTTCTTATAAGTTTTAGTCCAAATAAGAAGAGTTTGCATTGTCAGAATTTAAAATTTAATGTGATTATCTTATGTTTATAGATTTTTTACCTAGAGCACGTAAATATGCATAATGTGACTCGTCATTCAAGCTCCTTACCACGCATACGCCACTGGGATGACAAGTCAATTGGGACGATTGTTAAGAAGGTTTCTAGTTTGGGTGGAGTTGATAGCATACAGGTGAAACCTAGGTTTTCTCCTGATGTTTTAAATAATATATATGTAGCGATTGAAATATTTACTGCAATTTCTTTGTATGCAGGTGGAATTTGGAAGGGATGGTGCTAGTTGCTTCACAATTGAGGTTGGAGTAATAATTTTCTATGTTATAGTGTTTCATGGATTAAATTGATGAAAACGAAGCATTTTATTTATCTTATTTTGTGAAAATTTCATTCAATAGTTATTTACATGTCAATTCGTATTAATTGTGTAATATTTTTTTAAAAAAATTTAACATTTGTTATTATATTTCTATTTGAAACAGGATGTTACAGCACAGATAGTTCAATTGAGGAATGAATTTCAACAAGAAATGCACTCTACAAAATCACAAATAGGTGACTTGAAGAAAGAAATGTCTGATTCTATGTCACAAATCATTACAAAATTGTCCAGCATTGAAAGCCACTTGGAAGCCAAAGCTGCAAATAAAACCATAGAGGATGAGGCGGTGCAGGTTCGTACAAAAAAAGGCGAGTTGAATGATGATGCTATTGCACATGAGAAGACATGCGAGGGAGTTAGAACGGGTGCAGATCACACGATCAGTGAAGAGAATATGACTACAAATGAAGATTCAACTAATGTGTATGATAAATTGGATAACATGGCTCGTGATTTCAAGGCAAAAGAAGATTTTGTGGAGCTTTCTGATGATGCAAGCTCACTTCTAAAAGCATCAACGCCTAAGGGAAACCACCTGGTAAAGTTTTAGTAGTTTAGCATTCGAGTCTACAAATTCTGTTTACTTGACTTTTGTTCATATGGTAATCTAATTGGTTTTATTGGTTTTAGGAAAAGCAAGGAAATAGGAGATCTGGTGCAATTTCATCTCAAAATGAAAAGAAAAGAAAGGCAAATCAACATGTAAGTGTATGCGTGTTCATTCCATATGTATTCTCTAATTATTAGTGCTTGTGATTAGGTGATGGATAACATTATTGTTTTGTGGAGATTAATATGACCAGCTTCTATAGTTATTTTAATTTCTTGTGGTAATCTTGTTTTCAATTGTGGTAGGAGGAAGATGAAACAGATTCATTTGAGGCACTTATGGCTGGAGTAGATCAAAAGATTCGATCAAGAGAGGATTCAAACATGGGACTTCGAAAGAAAGAAGTACTCAAAGCCGGTCCACAATTTCAGTTTCCTTATGTGGCCGACAAACCAGCGGTAAGAGGTCGGGGTAGACAACAAGGTCCTAAACATCAAGGTACTAAAAAAGGCGGTCGATCAAAAAAAAAAATAGATGATGATTGGGAGAATAAGGTACAATAAACTTGGATATTGTTCGACTAGAGTTTTTATCATTTAATTATTTTTGTGTTTATAATTTGAAAACTTGATAACTATAATAATTTCTTTTTGCACGAAGTTCAAAATCAAAGAAATTGACATAGATCCGGTGACTGCACTGCCAAATCCCGTTGAGAATTTATGGACGTTTCTACTTACTGAGAAGTTTCGAAACAGTACTCCAAGGTAGATTCTGACATTTTTAGAATAGAAAGTTGGGTTTTTTCATCTAATATATATATATATATATATATATATATTGTTCACTACTTATTGATATCATGTAGCACTACGTTGGTCGAGTTTGAAACATATACAGCAACAAGAGAAGAGCTTTGGAGTTTGCGTGACGGAGAACATGTTCAATCAGGAGTAAGTGCTATAGTATATCATATATAAAAATGAAGGGTATTTTTTAGGAAATTTCTAATGATTAATTATGTAGGTAATTAATCTTGTTGTTGCTGGGTTAACACTGGAATATCGGGACAATAAAGAAAGCGATTATTGGTTCATTACGTAAAAGAAGTCTCAATTACGTAAAGCTTCCGTAATGAAATTTTAGAACTGTTACGTAAAATACAAATCCATTACGTAAGGCTTCCGTAATGACAGTTGTTTCTTACGTAACAGTTAAATCAGAACTGTTACGGAAGGCTTCCGTAATACCTTCACACTTTACGTAACGCAAGGTTAATATTCATTACGTAAAAGAAGCCTCAATTACGTAAGGCTTCCGTAATGACATTTTAGAACTGTTACGTAAAATACACATCCATTACGTAAGGCTTCCGTAATGACAGTTGTTTCTTACGTAACAGTTAAATCAGAAGCGTTACGGAAGGCTTCCGTAATACCTTCACACTTTACGTAACGCAAGATTAATATTCATTACGTAAAAGAAGCCTCAGTTACGTAAGGCTTCCGTAATACCTTCACTCTTTACGTAACACAAGGTTAATATTCGTTACGTAAAAGAAGCCTCAATTACGTAAGGCTTCCGTAATGACAGTTATTTCTTACGTAATAGTTAAATTAGAAGCATTACGTAAGACTTCCGTAATGACTTATTACTTTACGTAACGCGAGATAAATATTCATTACCTAAAAGAACCCTTCATTACGTAAGGCTTCCGTAATGAGATTTTATAACTGTTACGGAAGATGCACATACGTTACGTAATCATTACGTAACACCTGTTGTGTTTTACGTAATACAACCTGTGAAACCTGCTATAGCAGGTAAAAAAAATCAAGTTACCTTACTTCAAGGCATTGTAGGAATTTCCGTATCTTTATAGTTGTTAACTCTTACCAGAGTTAATAAGGTTGATTATTTTTTCCATCTCCGATCTTGAAGGTATCTCCATGTGTGATCTGCTACATATCTCTTCCAGCTCACTCTGTTTCTTGAAGAAGATCTCCTTTGTCTTGCTTGCTTTTAACTGATCTAGTCTCTTGACTTCAGCTTCAGCCTTAAATGACGAAAGACTGATTGTTAATATTCATTTCTCTCCCCCGCAGTATGATATTATCATATGTTCACTGACTAACCTCCTGGATTATATTTTGAGCAAGGCATCCTGGATCCGACACTTCAGATGATGATTTACGTAATAAGTTAGTGACGTGAAAGAATTGCCGGCGGTCTCCATAAGATGTGTCCATGAGATTCCACAGGTTTGTTAAAGCCTTTCCAAGATGGTAAAGCTGCAGGTTGAGAAACTCATGTTAGTTAACTTTCCTTTTGCTGGTAACCTGTTTCTGAGAAAGTAAAAACGTGGCCAAAATACACTGTTTGGAAGATAGCAATATTGGTTTTCACCTTCTCAGTGCGTTTTTGTTTGTCTTCCTTTAGAGTTTCCACAGTGCTGTTCAGCTTAGCCAGTATGGTGTCACTTATGTTCTTGGAAATGCCACACAACTCATTCAGAGTTGGATGGACCTTTGTAATTATCATGGAAGACTCCATTCCTAATGTAGCAGAAAGGTTCCGGATAGTGTCTATATACATCTCCACTTGCTGAAGCCTGTCATTCTTTTGATGTGAAGAAAGAAGAAGCTTTACAATCATATATACCAATGTGCATTTACTGTTTGGACTTCTAAGAACCATGTACCCAATTAACTTTTACCTTTTCTTTGTGTAGTCTTTGCAGCTCACTTTGGTATTCCTCGAGTTTTTTCGACGAAAGGTCATTCTCATTTACTATGACGTTAGTTATTGAATCATCATAAGCGGATTGACCTGCAATCTCTGCTGATATTTTTTGGATTTGCGCTTGCACAGCTCGAAACTGGTTTACTCTATCCTCTTTTCTGAGACGCATCTCTCTCAGAGCTGGGGTGATTGCATCCAATTGCTCCTTCAGTGTTCCTGATACTTTCTCCGGCTGCAAACAGAAAGGATAGGTAATTTAGTGAACACATACTGAAACTTTTTTGCAAGGATGAGCAAATCTAGCTCTCTTGCATCATAGCCCGACTATAAATTATTTAGTAGAATAAACTATTGATCATATGACAAGTAGCTTATAAACCGGAATAGAAAATAATGTCAATGGTTGAATTTGTGCCAACAAATAGACCTGTAACTCATTTTAAGAAAACCTTTATATTTTCTGAATGTCTGAACTTGGTGGTTTCCTTTGCAGATGGCTACAAGCCTATGTTAAATGCTAGTGGTTCATATACTAGCTTGAAAAGTACAGATTAAAGTACCCGTCCAGGGAGAGACCGTTCACCAAGGGAGAGAAGAAGATGGGTAAGTTCAGCTTCCGATTCAGCCAATTCTTGATGCAGTCGAGCCCTTGATATGTTTGCACTGTCGACTTTTCTTCTGTAGACCTCCAGACATTCCTGCTCCAAGTCCAGTAGAACCTTCTCACGATTGAATTGGTCTTCACCAACTTCATTCCATATCATCTGTTCTTGCAGGGGAAAAAACCCAGAAGGGAAGAAAATGGCTGCTAAGGGAAAAACAAGAAAAGAAGAAACCCAGTAGTAAAGTAGTAATAAATTGATTTATCACAGCTTGCCTGCAATTCCTGGAGTAGATATCCGCACGATGTTTCTAAAAGTGCAGAGCTCTGCATTTTCTGGAAGGAGCCCATCTGATGGCCTTCCACCCTGGGAGCTGAAACTGGGGCAGCTAAGATAGATTGCCTTCCACAGTTGACACTATCTTCTACTCGGTAAAAGTTGTGGAAACTTTGGTGTCAGTATTTGCTTAGAAGACAAGAAGGCTACAGGATTCGGTTACCTGTAAAGCTTTTGGCTGAAGCATAAGCCAGCTCGCCCATCTTCAGGTTCTGTCTCTCCACCTTATTATTTTACTTTTCTTCACAAAGGCTAAAGTCTCCTTCTTTACTTATATCAGGATGGGAAAATGGCAGTTGCATAGCCATAGTTCAGTGCTTTTTTTATGCACTGTTGGGTTCCTTCTGACCCAGGAATGGGTGCCAAATCGTTTTCATAACCAATACAACACTTCACCTTTTTAAACCTTGTTTAATAATGTTTTAGTTACAAAAGCAGTATATTTTAGAAGGAAATCTTGTCTCTTTAGCGGTAGCATGTCGTTGTCTGGCAAATATAGGTAAGGGAGATAGGGAGAGAACAACTCTCACGAACTTAATGGGGTATGAATCTGAATTATAAAAAAAGTATAGAGACGGCACATGGGATCTGCTACTCTTGAAGGTTACGTCTCTTTGGGCGTAGTGGAGGAAGCTTGTAATCAAGAATCCGTAGCAGTTGAGGTCATCTGTGTTTCGATCTGCGGCTCAGGAAATAGTATTTGAGTAATTTTAGGTTGATGGATCTAAGTTGGTTCGAACCCTGGTTACGAAGGGGCAGCAGCTAATACTTACGTCGATGCGGTGCGTTTAGTGGGGTAAGGTTATAGGCTCAAATACCACATCACTTGTTTTCTGAGTTGCAGAAGGGTTTATAAACCGAAGCAGTAACAATCAGGCTTGTCCCTTCGGGGACATCCGATAAAATTGGAACGATACAGAGAAGATTAGCATGGCCCCTGCGCAAGGATGACACGCATAAATCGAGAAATGGTCCAAATTTTTTTCCTTCCTCCGCAATCTTTTTTAAATGTTTTTCTATACAGTAATGACGTTGAAGTTCTTGGCATGGCCCCGCGCAAGGATGACACGCATAAATCGAGAAATGGTCCAAATTTTTTTTCTTTCCTCCGCAATCTTTTTTAAATATTTTCCTATACAGTAATGACGACAAGTTTTTAGTTTTTCCTTCCTCTGCGGTTACTTTAGTTGCCACCTTTCCAGAAAAGATTTTAGTTCCTCCAATTTATGAATTGGCTGCAGGAACATACTTCCATGTCATTCATGTTGGCATTTTGATAGGTTACTTGGATCTCAGTTGTGACTGACTAAGTGATAACAGGATAAGACAGTTGTGAATTTGTTTTATATGTTAAGCTGAATCCATATAATTGATCATGGAATGAAGTACTTAAGAGGCAAAACAAGGTTATATGCAGCTTCTTGTGGACTTTGATTTCTTGTTTCTCTTATGGGTTGAAATTTGATCTGAGAACCAGAAGTGTGAAGTTTTGATGTTTGATGTACAATCCAGATACCGAATCCAGACAAGGTTCTGAAGTTGTTTGCTCCTTTGATGTGACTTAGAAAATGACGGATTACAGGTTAACTGTCTTGCAAACTCTCGTTGGCTTTCATGGGTGAGACACATCTGTAACTTTGGGTTCTGCAGTAGCTCCACTCTGCTCATCAGACTTCCTTAGGATACAGGAAGATAGAAGACTGTACACCTTAAATGTTACACCAATATATGAGAGGTAACCAGAACTTTGTATGTGACTTGGGGATTGCAAATAGCTATTTAGTAATCTCAGAATGCTTCTTATTCTTATTTTTCCATTAGGGCGTAGGAACTATAGCATCAGTCTTTGTTCTGGTGAGCAGTTCTAGTATAATAGGTGAAACTGTGAAGGAAAGTATGATCATGAAGGCGATTTGGGTCTTTAAGAATTTGAGGCTTAGTGGCCTAATCTCTGTTCCAAAAGGGTGACTGACTTATACCTCCAAAAGGGTGAGTTCATGTCAGGATTGAATGCTACTGTACCACATTGGTTGAAACTACCTCCAATATGCAGTTTATATTTTACATGATCGCCAAAGTTGCTGTCCCTTCGGGGACATCCGATAAAATTGGAACGATACAGAGAAGATTAGCATGGCCCCTGCGCAAGGATGACACGCATAAATCGAGAAATGGTCCAAATTTTTTTTCCTTCCTCGCATTCGATGTTTTCCCTTACCTTCCCCTCTAGTACAGGTGTGGTTTTCTTTTGTTCCTATCTGCTCTTGCACAGTATATGAATTGGGTTTGGTTTCTCACCCATTTGAAGTTTTTGGCTCATATGGTATGCAGCGGCTCATACAGGAAGAAAGTATTTCTTCAAACGAAAGACCGTAAGCAGATTCCAGGTTGCTATATCTCTTGTAACTCTTTTACATTAACATCTTATCTAAGTACTTCATCAAAAAGTTACGTTACAGAAGTGACTCATCAGTATCATGATTCTGATGTAGTTCTTGCCCGGGGCTCGGTTTGAAAACGACTAAAAGAAGAGGCAAACAGGAAGGAAGCAGATTGTACAACTCAAACGTCCATTTGAAGTTTTTGGCTCATATGGTATGCAGCGGCTCATACAGTAAGAAAGTATTTCTTCAAACGAAAGACCGTAAGCAGATTCCAGGTTAGCTATATCTCTTGTAACTCTTTTACATTAACATCTTATCTAAGTACTTCATCAAAAAGTCACGTTACAGAAGTGACTCATCAGTATCATTAAAACGACTAAAAGAAGAGGCAAACAGGAAGGAAGCAGATCGTACAACTCAAACGTCCATTACTATAGCAGAGGTAAGACCTGAAGAATGTCTTGCGTCCATGTCAAGTAAACCAAAACGGTGTCGTTCTCCCATCCACTTACCATCCTCCCTATGCGACGTCGTCTGATCATCAACGGACACCCTGCAGAAGAATCGTCCTTCCAAGTCCATCTTCAGAAGGAAAACATCGAGCTGCTCAACCCTAGCCTCCCTCCTATGGAAATCCTCTGAAAGCATAGCGAGTAAAATCGAAGACTTCACTCAAGCAATCACCGACCCCAGAAGGGCTATGATGATTTCCTCAAGGGAGCGTTTCCGGTTTCTCCAACGGCTATCTCGCACATCCTAGTATATATATAGCTAAGCATCCCTCCTTTAGAACTTGTCCGTGTTTTTGTAGAAGAAAATAGCTGAGTGTGCTTTTGTTCTTCTTTCGGTCCAATTGTAGTCTCTTCAAGTTATCTAATTCACAGTGCTGAGAGCTGGGTGAATTAGATTTGGGAAGAGGAGTGTTTCTGTGTGTTGTTTACTAAAGGGCCAACTCTGTTTGGCTCAACCAAGTAACGTAGTGTGCTTGTCTGCTTTTGTAATCCTTTCTTCGAATCAACAGAATATTTCCATCTTACCTAAAGGTTGATAGCAAGATAAGGTGTGTGTGTGTGTTTTCGGGAGAGTTTCTCACATTTCTACTTTCAACAATTGGTATCAGAGCAGGGTCTTTGAGAGATTAAAGGTTCGCCAAAGACGATCGCTGGGATGGCTGGAACACAATCAGCATCTGGTTCATACTCTGCAAACACAAATCCACCGTGGTTTGATGGCACGGATTACACAGTATGGAAGAAGCGGATGAGAATATACCTTCGAGGAATTGATGGAGGGCTTTGGGCCATTGTGAAGAATGGACCAATTCCCATGGACGATGAAGACGAAGAGAAATGGGAAGATGACCAGAAACTGTCTTCCCAGCAAGATTCGAGGGCAATGCATATATTGTTCTCGGCTCTAAGTACAGAAGAAAGGAGTCAGGTAGCCCAGTGCGAGACTGCCAAAGAAATCTGGGAGTCACTGGAAACCACTCACGAAGGTACGTCTGAGGTAAAGGAGAGCAGAATTGATGTTTTGTTAAATGAATATGAGTCTTTTGAGATGTTTACAGGAGAATCTATCACAAGCATGTATAAGAGATTTAATGATCTAATCAATAGATTAAAGGGACTAGGAAAAACGTTTGCCACTAAGGATCTTGTTAGGAAAATCTTAAGAAGTTTACCTAGAGAATGGCTTCCAAAGCGAACTGCCATAGAAGAGGCAAAGGATTTGAATGTGCTATCTATTGAAAGACTAGTAGGCTCCCTGCTTAGTCATGAAGAAGTAATTGTTCAAATGAACAAAGAAGATAACAAACGAAAGAAGGTAATAGCTTTTAAAGCACAAGAGTATGAAAGTGATTCTGAATATGAAATGGGAGAAGACTTTGAAAAAGAGTTTGCTCTTGTCAGTAGAAAATTTCATAAAATGCTGAAAATGAAAAGAGATTTTGAGGATAGAAAGAATTATGGGTTCTCTAGACCATTTAATGATAGAAGCTTTGAATCTAGGAGAAGTAAAGACTTAGATAGGTCAGCAGGACGAGTGACAGAAAAGAATGTTCATAATAATAAGAACCAGTTTAGAAGAATGGAAAGACAAGATGGAGAACGCGATAGGAAAGAGTTTAAGGAAGACATTAGGTCTTCCAGTGAGAAGGATTTGACTGTTTGCTTCAAGTGTGGAAAGACAGGACACATGAGATCAAGGTGTCCCTTACATTTGAAGAAACAGGAGAAGGCCATGACAGCTTCTTGGAGTGATTACAGCTCAGAGGAAGACATTGAGCCAAGAAATCTGGCGTACATGGCATTTGCAAGGAAGGAAGAAAATGAACTATCAGAAGCAAGCAGCAGCCAAGGGCATCCCACAAACTACCAGAAGCTGGGAGAACAGGAAAACACATGGTACCTAGACAGTGGGTGCTCCCACCACATGACAGGTAGAAAAGAGTTATTTTCATCACTAAAATATAAAAAGGGAGGTAAGGTAGTGTTTGGAGATGATCGAGTTGGTAGAATCATAGGAAATGGAATCATCGGTAAGAGTCCATTTCCTATCATAAGAGATGTTTTATTTGTTGAAGGGCTAAAACATAATCTTCTTTCAATCAGTCAATTGTGTAGTTCAGAAAACAGGGTAATTTTTGAAGCTGAATCATGCAAAATTTCCAGGATCAGTGATGACAAACTACTGTTTTCTGGGATAAGGAAAAACAATATGTATGTGGTTGATTTAAACAACCTAGAATCTTTTAATGAAACTTGTTTTCATGCTGCATCTGGTGATTTAGAACGACTGTGGCATAGAAAATTAGGACATATATGCATGTCAAAATTATCAAAACTATCAAAACTGGAGTCTGCACGAGGCATACCAAAGCTAAAAGATAATGCTAACTTTTTCTGTGATGCTTGTGCAAGCGGTAAGTTGACCAAGAAAAGTTTCAAATTAAAGAAAGACATTACCACCTCTCAAGTCTATGATTTAATTCACATGGACTTGTTTGGACCAACAAATGTGGTAAGTCTTGGAGGTAAATCATATGCTCTTGTGTTAGTTGATGATTTTTCTCGGTTTACATGGGTATATCTTTTAGCATCAAAGGATGAAGCTTTTGGAATGTTTAAATCATTTGTGTCTAAGGTGTTAAATGAGTCCAAAACAGGAATTAAATCTATAAGAAGTGATAATGGAGGGGAGTTTGTGTCTGAACAGTTTATTGCACTATGTGATGACAAAGGTATAAATCATACATTTTCTGCTCCAAGAACACCACAACAAAATGGTGTTGTGGAAAGAAAAAACCGAACCATAATCGAAACTGCTAGAACTATGTTGCTTGAATATGGTAGCCCTAAGTTTTTATGGGGGGAAGCTGTTATGACTGCGGTATATGTAATAAACCGTGTTTTGATCAGAAAGCATTTGGAGAAAACACCTTATGAAATTTTAAAACATAAAACTCCAAATGTAAGCTATTTTCATCCATTCGGATGCAAATGCTACATACTAAATACAAAAGACCATCTCTATAAGTTTGATGCCAAAGCTGAACGTGCAATTTTTCTTGGCTACTCCATGAAAGGGCAGGCTTATAGGGTATATAACTTAAGAACTAGAAGGGTCGAAGAGTCAGTATTTGTGAAGTTTGACGATGCTGTGTGTTCTGAGAAAATTGATGCAGAGAATATAGACCTATTATTCCCAGTGACTTATTGGCAACTTGAATGAGGGAATACACACCAGAGGTAAGTACTGTCCAGGTCAGTATGCATTTATATCACTTTTAGAACCTAAAAATTATAAGGAAGCACTAAATGATGATGAATGGTTACATGCTATGCAAGAAGAACTTTTACAATTCGCTCGTTTGCATGTGTGGGAACTAGTACCTAGACCATTTAACAAATTAATCATAGGAACAAAATGGATTTTTAGAAACAAAACGGATGAGCTTGGGGAAATCACGAAAAACAAAGCAAGATTAGTAGCGCAAGGGTACTTGCAAGAAGAAGGAATAGACTTTGAAGATTCGTTTGCTCCAGTTGCTAGAATTGAATCTATAAGAATGCTTTGTGCCTATGCATGTTATATGAAAATTCCACTATATCAGATGGATGTTAAAAGTGCCTTCCTAAATGGAGAGATAAATGAAGAGGTATATGTAAGCCAACCCCCGGGGTTTGTAGATCATGAACATCCAGATCATGTGTATAAATTATCAAAAGCATTATATGGATTAAAACAAGCTCCTAGGGCATGGTTTGAAAAACTGTCCTCATTCCTAAAAGAAGAAAATTTTGTGCAAGGAAAGGTTGACAAAACTTTGTTCATCAAAAGAAAAGATAATGAAACTTTAGTAGTACAAATTTATGTTGACGATATCATATTTGGATCAACTAGTCCAGACATGTGTACAAATTTTGGTGAATTGATGAAATCTAAATTTGAGATGAGCATGATGGGTGAATTGTCTCACTTTCTAGGGTTACAAATTAAACAAACAAGTTCAGGAATGTTCATAAGTCAAATCAATTACATCAAAAACATGCTAAAGAAATTTAATATGGAATCTGTCAACTCTTGCTCAACCCCAATGAGCACAAGTCTAAAATTGGACAAAGACATGTCTGGAGTTCCAGTATGTGAAAAGAAGTATAGGGGTATGATAGGATCTCTCTTATACTTAACGGCAAGTAGACCAGATATACAATACAGTGTTGGGGTATGTGCTAGGTTTCAATCTAAACCAAAAGAAAGTCACTTAAAAGCAGTAAAAAGGATCTTTAGATATCTCAAAGGAACAATGGAAATTGGGTTATGGTATCCTTTCTCAGATCTGTTTGAACTAAACGGGTATAGTGACTCAGATTTCGGTGGAAGCTTAGTTGATAGGAAAAGCACCTCTGGAAGCGTTCAATTTTTAGGCCATGCACTTGTATCTTGGTTTAGCAAGAAACAAGGTGCAGTTGCACTATCCACAGCAGAAGCAGAGTATCTAGCTGCTGGAAGTTGTTGTGCACAAATCATGTGGATGAAAACTCAATTAGCAGACTATGGTTTCAAATTCCAAAACATACCCATCTGGTGTGACAATACTAGCGCCATATGTATGACAAAAAATCCTGTACAACATTCCCGGACTAAACACATAGAAGTAAAATATCATTTTATAAGAGATCTTGTATCGGCTGGTCATATATGTTTGCAATTTATACCTACTGAATACCAACTGGCCGACCTATTCACAAAACCACTAGCTAGTGATAGGTTTACCCAATTGTGTGCTGAACTAGGCTTAAAATATCTTAACCAGATCAAAGATCTAAAAAGCTAGCTTAACCATTGGGCCTGAAATTATCTAGGCTTGTTATGAGTCTTGATTCACTTAAACGAGATACCCCCTTCTGCTCATGCGTGTATTTTTTGCTTTAAATGCAATCATTAGTCTTGGTTTATGAAAAACAGACTCTTCGTATTCTCATTCTCCCGCTCCTCCTCTACACTTCGAAACACTATTTAAGGATCTTCTCTTACTCTCGCCTTCTCATCCTATCTTCCAGCAAAAAGCCTTAACCTACCCTCTGCAAAAACCAACCAAAACAAAGCTTAGCTACCAAAATGAGCGATCACTTACCTCGCCCGTTCAGATTTGATGGGTTGGTGCATACCTACCCAGGCTACATGTTCCATGAGCCTGTGGTAATAAACCACCATCGTCATCTTCAACATTTTGAGAATAGGAGACTTCACCACATCATCCAAATCGATCCTTGTGAGTTCAATTTCTATAAGTACGACATTATGTCTCTTATAGAAGCACTTGGATGGGACTATCTTCTTCGACAGCCTCTTCATCCAGCATGCCCTGGGGCAGTCAAGTATTTCTACTCAAACCTTAGATGCCAAGGAGTCAGCACCAGGAGTTTCTCAACTGTAGTCTACGGTCATTTATTGACCATTCCAGTAGGAGCCATTAATGGAATCCTTGGATTTCCTTCCCAAGGAATCGACATCGCTCATCCATCAGAGTTTTGGAAGCAAAACTTTATCCTTCCCACTGAATACTCAATCTTCTCCACTGAACCCACAGGAGGAACAGACGTACCGATTCCCATCAATTGGTTGACTCCTCGTATGAGGATTTTCCATCACTTCATCACTCATGTCTTCTTTCCAAGAACTTTCAATCTTGACGTGGTTCTGCCTCTTGACCTATGGATCATCTCAAGTGCAACAGCTGGGCGCAAACTGGATTATGCCAGCTTAATGTTTGGAAATCTCCTTCCAGTTGGAGACGAGCATTATCAAGGGTTAATGCCCTTTGGGTCAATCATAACTCGAATGTTGATCAATCTTGGTGTAGATCTATCTGACCATCGTAGTGTATCTCACACCATGTATGTAGGAGCTCTAAATGTCCTAATGGTCTTAGATCTCCCTATTGACCCTGCCCCATCTCCACCACCACTTCCCTCTGCCTCATTCCTCAGTGCTCGCTCCAAATCGGCTAAAGGTGACAAAGGAAAAGAGATTGTTGGAGAGTCAAGCAAGACCGCTAATCTTGTGTTCACTGTTACTGATGGGAATACTTCATCCGAAGACTCAGCTGAACCAGAAGACCCAGAGGAGCAAGCCTCACCCATTCCTTAAATCGTATCTGCTGTAACTTAGGGGGAATATGCATCTATTTAAGTTTCCTGTAGTTGTAGGTTGTAGTCTTTCTTTTCTTGCTAGTTAGTTAAGTAGTTTGGTCCTTCCCAGGGGGAAGTTAATTGGTGTCATTAGTAGTGGTTCTTGTTCTGTACCTTCCTTGTTATTTTTCGAAAGTAATTAAATTAGATGTCTCTGTTCTTCGTAGTGCTGCTTGTGTCTTGTGTCTGTTTTGCAGAAAAAGAAGGACTTGTTGGACGAAGGGGGAAATTGAAGAATGTCTTGCGTCCATGTCAAGTAAACCAAAACGGTGTCGTTCTCCCATCCACTTACCATCCTCCCTATGCGACGTCGTCTGATCATCAACGGACACCCTGCAGAAGAATCGTCCTTCCAAGTCCATCTTCAGAAGGAAAACATCGAGCTGCTCAACCCTAGCCTCCCTCCTATGGAAATCCTCTGAAAGCATAGCGAGTAAAATCGAAGACTTCACTCAAGCAATCACCGACCCCAGAAGGGCTATGATGATTTCCTCAAGGGAGCGTTTCCGGTTTCTCCAACGGCTATCTCGCACATCCTAGTATATATATAGCTAAGCATCCCTCCTTTAGAACTTGTCCGTGTTTTTGTAGAAGAAAATAGCTGAGTGTGCTTTTGTTCTTCTTTCGGTCCAATTGTAGTCTCTTCAAGTTATCTAATTCACAGTGCTGAGAGCTGGGTGAATTAGATTTGGGAAGAGGAGTGTTTCTGTGTGTTGTTTACTAAAGGGCCAACTCTGTTTGGCTCAACCAAGTAACGTAGTGTGCTTGTCTGCTTTTGTAACCCTTTCTTCGAATCAACAGAATATTTCCATCTTACCTAAAGGTTGATAGCAAGATAAGGTGTGTGTGTGTTTTCGGGAGAGTTTCTCACATTTCTCACATTTCTACTTTCAACAAGACCTACTCCCACCATTCTTTTCTAATAATCGAATCTCCTTTCGGTTGGTTATTTTGCTGCTGCTGCTGCTGCTGCTAACATATAAGTCTATAAGATGAAATGTCTTCAATTCGTAGAACATCATCCATTATAAGTTCTCTTTCGACCTGAGCTCTAGTTGACTTCAGAACTTCCTATTGTATAAATAACACACAGCATAAGCAAAGATAGTTTGTGGTAGAAACTTGAAAGCCAAACCAACTAACTGAAGTGATCACTAGCTATCAATTGATTAATGAATGAAGGTACTGAATAAGCCAGGCAGGGCTCTGATGGTATTTGGGGTAATTTATTTGAACTCATCAAATTGGCAGCTTATAGTTTAGATCTCTTGTATACATTCATTGGTCAACATGATATCCGGAAACCCATCAAACTTCTGAAGTCTGACACAATAGTGATTGATCAGCATCATGATTCTGCTGCAGCTTTTCCCTTGGACTTATGCCTCCAAGGATTCACTTGAAGATGAAGAATGAGGAGAATGTTATACAACTGGAATATTGGACCAACATGTGAGAGGTAAGAACTGCTTAACCATCCCTTTTCAAGAATCTATTTTTCTTCACTTGGTTATTTGCTGATAACATAGAAGGGTATAAGTTGACTTAGCTTCTATCTGAACATCAATCAGAATGTTCCAGAGTTACAATCATTTTAGCCGTTTGTGATTGGATTACAGGGGAATTCGCTTCCTTGGTTCTTTTCTGAACTTCAATTAGAAATATGTTATCTTATTTCCTATGGCTGCATGCTTGTCCATTGGGAACTTCTCTTTCTATACGCTATCTGTCCTGTTCTCGAATTAGAATTCCCCCACAGTCCAAATCACTTATGTTAAAAGTGGCCTATAACAACTGAGAAATTTTGTAAACTTAACCAGTCGATGTTTCGAAAGCCTGATTTGCACTTCTGCCTTAAACTCATATGAAGGCAGACGAATGGATTGAAAATTGAAGCACTGACCATAACTGTATTGGCTTTATACGAAGAACTTGGGATTGAAACAAGCTTTATTTTGCTGACTTCAACATGGAAGAGTTTGGGTAAAAAGTGGAATGATACGGCAAGTAAATAGTAGATTCAGAAGTACCTAAGCAGGTTCGAACCCTGGTCCACCAAAGGCAAAACTAACACTATGAGACGTTGCGTTTTATTAAGCTTATGCTATGTGGTCGGTGCGGATACCACATCGCATGTTGATGGATAATTTACGGTCTTTATTAACAGTAGCCAAGCACAATGTATTGTCCCTTCGGGGACATCCGATAAAATTGGAACGATACAGAGAAGATTAGCATGGCCCCTGCGCAAGGATGACACGCATAAATCGAGAAATGGTCCAAATTTTTTTTTCTTTCTCCGCAATATTTTTTAACTTCAGTGATATTTGACTTTGCTCTTGTCCAGTTTATGAATCCAGTGTGAGCTTACCTCATTCAAGTTTTTGGCTCATATGCTGTGCAGATTTAACACATTGATGTTTTTGGCTCATATGCTGTGGAGGGGCTCATTACTAGATGAATATATCTCAAGCAGGCATTTTGGCGGGGTTGCTTGAATGCCAAGTTCTTTTTCCAAGCTCAATTACAGAGATAAGAACTCTGTATAAGTACACAAATTTGATGTTACTTGCATAATCCACATAAAGATGGAGGAATGAAGTACTCGATCCTTGTCCTGCTGATATTCTATCTTTATTTTGACTTGCCAAATTACGGTTAAAGGTAAGTTATTTAGTAAGCTCGTTAAGGTTCATGGGTCAACTGATTAGTATCCAATAGTTCTACAGAATTCAGATGCAAAAAGACTCATCAGACTTTCTTCTGTCAGTAAGGGCACTCGCTTGGAGAAGAAGGCAAACATGAAGATTGTAAGACTGGACTGTTATCCCATTACTATATCTGAGATAAGTACTACTCCATCATCATTAGAATTCTTCATGTTTCCAGTTGGTTATCTTGGTGCTGCTAATATAGTAGGGCATATGATGGCGTGTCTTCGATTCGTAGTACGTTATCATTAGAAATTCTCTTTCCTTTGTATGAAGAAAACACTGCACTGGGAAAATAGTGTGAGAAAACCAAACCAACTAACTGACAGTGATCACAAGCTAGCAGGGTCCTTAAATTGAAATCCTTGTAAGTTGCATTCCTCTCTAGCCATTGTTTGTTGATCACAAACGATACGCAATAGCGCAAATCGAATGCTCACAACACACAGATTGATGAAATAACTCAATAAGAGATGCAAATGCACTGAACTACACATGCCTCGACATAGTTGCAGTGTTCCTACCTGATAACATATGCATGAAAACTGATCTCACAAATGTACTAGGCTTTGTTGCAACACCACTACATTAGATAAGCCAAAACACTTGGAAGATCATCAACTACTTAGTTTCGTTTATATTGAAGTTTCAAAATTAACAATTGTCTGTCAGGTTACTTACTAGAATCAAGATCAAGCATCTGCATGATCATGAACGTGACATTTACACCCGCGATAGCATATGGATACTCCCTAGCAGACCTCTTCCCTCCTTGCTTGTTCAGTAACTGTTGAAATGAAGTATGTAGCAAAACACAGGGTTCTGCAATTTTAGTGCCACAGTTTGGTCTGTGTAGACTGAGATTAAGTTTAGGATTAGGATGGCTCATACCAAAACTGTCTTGGCGAAGGAAAACAGGTACTCCAATGAAATAAAACCTGCTCCCCTGTTACAAATGTTTAGAAACATCCACCCGGTGATGAGTTATCCAGGAATGCTGTAGTTTGACCATTACATTAATTGTGAAGGCTGAATCAACCTTAAATCAATAGAAGGAGTGAAGGATCTTTCCACTGCATTCCCATTTCCTTTCATTGATCAGATATCAGTCACATAGCTTTATGTCAGGATGTGGCTAACCATAGTGCTCTTGGAGTTTCCTGTTTCATCAAAATTCCCACCTTTAGAAGAAAAGTTGATAAGAGCTTGAGTATCAAGTTCTGGCATATGGTTAATGGTAAAGGGAAAAGTTCCACACACCTGGTGATCACTCCTAGAAGTATCGAAATGAACCTTCATTAGACGCTTCCACCCTCTCACTCTTTCCTCCTTCAAACTCTCCAATGCAATCCATCAGCTCACTAGAAGTACATAAATTATCATAGCCTCGGCATCTTTCAAAAATATATCGTCTCATGTGTTAGTAAAACCGGAATCTTTAACCCTTGCTCCCCTACTGCATTCATTTACATTGGCTTTGGTTGGGTTGATCCTTGGTTGAAATGCCACTGCTATCACTATAGAGAGTACCACTATGTGTGAAGGTACTGGTTAGATTGTGTATCATAAATTACCTGTCATTATAATTGAGCTGCCTGGCATTTAACTTCGTTTCAGCACAGGACCTCTTCTCAAAATAGAAGAACACTTAACTAAATTCTTTAGCCTTGCCTACTGCAATCTTATCATTGCCCAAGATGGTTTGTTTTGAAGTTTAGGCCTTAGGGGGATGTAGAACCCAATTATGGGTTTGTCATTCGCCACATTTCTTGTGCTTTCACCTATAATAGCCATTATAACTTCCAACCGTTAGTAGTTTGATCATCCCTTCGTGGACATCCAATTTTATTGGAACGATACAGAGAAGATCGGTGTGAGCCGTACACAAGGATAATATTTGGTCCTTATTTGGCTTACCACAATGGCAGTTACAGGCTAGCTATCTTGTAAACTTCTTTAGATTCATGGGTCAAATTATTATTATCCAATAGATTCACCAGATGCAAAAAGAACTCATCAGGCTTTCTTTTGTCAGCAAGGACACTCTCTTGGAGAAGAGCGAGAAACATGAGAGGAGTTCGTACAAATAAAATGTTAGCCAATTACTATATCGGAGGTAAGTGCTACTCCACCATCCTTCGAACTATTGATGTTTCTTCAGTTGGTTATTTTGTTGCTGCTGCTAACAAAGAAGTGTATAAGATGGCATGTCTTCGATTCGTAGAACGTCGTCCATTAGAAGCTCTCTTTCCACCTGAGCTCTAGTTGACTTCAAAACCTCCTATTTGTATGAAAGAAAAACACAGCATTAGGAAGAAAGTGGGAGAAAACTAAACTAAAGTGATCACTAGCTAGCTAGGTCCTCACATTGAACTCCATGTAAGTTGCATTCCTCTCTAGCCATTGCTTGTCCATAATCACAAATGCCACACAATAGAGCAAGTCGAATGCCCACTCATTTTCTTCGAAAACAGATTCGTGAAATCAGAGATGAACAAAGCACTGAATTACGCATGCATCACATAGTTTTAGTATTCCTACCTGATAACATCTGCATGAAAACTGATCTCACAAATGTCCTAGGCTTTGCTGCAGCACAACTACACAGGATTAGCCGAAACACATCGGAAGATCATCAATTAGTAAGTCTAGTGTAGCTGGCATTGAAGTTTCAAGATTAACAAACGTCTGTGAGGCTACTTACTAGCATCAAGATCAAGCATCTGCATGATCATGAACGTCACATTTACACCTGCAACAGCAAATGGATACTCCCAGGCTGACCTCTTCCCTCCTTGCTTTTTCAGTAACCGTTGGAATGATATCTGTGGCAACACAAAGTTGTCTGAATTTAATTGCCATGGCAGTGCTGCCATCTTTAGACTGAGGTTAAGTTTAGGATCATATACCGAAAATGTCTTGGCGAAGAACAATAGGTTCTCCAGAGAGATAAATCCAGCTCCCCTGCAGAAAACGTTAGGAAAATTAACCCTGCGCCGAGTATATGAGGAATGCTGCTCATAGGTGAATAAGAACCTGAAATCAGTAGAAGGATCTTTCCCCTGCCATCCCATTTCTTTCCATTGGTCGGATACTAATCCACATAGCTTTATGTCAGGATATGTGGCTGACCATAGTGCTCTTAGAGCTGCCTGTTTATCATTAGAAGTGACCACCTTTAGAACTTAGAAGGAATGTGTAAATCTAAAGGAAGCCAAGTTTTTCTCCCACTCTATGATCTTAGAAGAGCTAACATGTTGAGTTCTCGAAATCAGCAGGCCAAAAAAGATCCCCACACGAACCTGATGATCGGTCCTAGAAGTATCGAAATGGACCTTCATCCGATGCTTCAATCTTCTCACTCTTTCCTCCTGCAAAGCAACAAATAAAAGGGTACAGAAACTGTTAGAATCTCAACCCATCTTTCAAAACCTAGAGCCTAAATACATGAATAAAACCGGAATCTTTAGCTTCACCCACAAGTGTATTAGTCATTTGCATTGGCTATGGTTGGCTTGATCCTTGGTCGAAATACGGCTGTTGTCATTGCCATTATAGAGGGTACCACTGTGTGTGAAGGGTACCAGCTAGACTGTGTATCTTTCTTAAATCAAGTGCAGGTAAGCAGAAGCCCTATTCTGGGCTTGCCCATAGCCACATTTCTGAACTTCCTAATGCTTTCAACCATTAACGCAGTTACAGCATACCTGTTGAGGAGTTAGGTTGACGAAGATGCGTTGATAGACCCCTTTCCTGTTGAAGCAAACACAAGTAAGGCCTCTACCGATCCAAGGAGGCGCCCCACAAGTTGCATGCTCATCTGCCCAAAAAATCGACACCCACATTTGTTTTGTTTGTTCAGTTTGTAAAGCATTTACCTCCGCATGAAAACACAACTAAAACAAAAGACCTCGTGCGTTCGTTGCTGCATCAACAGAGCATTTCATTTTCATTTCATAGATCAGGTGGCTACTAGTTGGAGTTCTCTTTGAAATGGTCATTTCCCTGGGGGGGAAAAAATCCCTCCCTAGATAAACCGGTACCGTTTTTGCCATTTCCCATTGCCGGTATAAGCTGCAGACTACTGTGAGGATGGCCATCTGTTGGCATCAAGGCAGAGGGAGCCCCACGGTTACAGACAGGACGGCTAACTGAGGCAAATTAAAGGACTAAAGGCCAAGGGCTCCAGGTCACGTGACCCAACCCAACTACTAACTAAGCTATATACTGTCCGAACCTGACTCTTATTCGGACTGACATTAATCGATCCATATGATCTAGGGGTCGTTTAGATGGATCAATATAAAAATGAGTCAATTTGATCAATTGTCTTGTTTATATATACTGTCCGAACCTGACTCTTGTTCGGACTGGCATTAATCGATCCATATGATCTAGGGGTCGTTTAGATGGATCAATATAGAAATGAGTCAATTTGATCAATTGTCTCGTTTATATAAACGAGACAATTAAAATGAGTCAATTCGAATTACCTGCCCCCACCCCAGGTAATTGAAATTGACTCAAAACTGATCAATTCAAAATACCTCAGACAGATTGATCCATCCAATTTTTTTGCTGGCAAACGAGACAATTGTGTCCAATTGATCCGTTACAATTCCTCATCCAAACGACCCCTAATCTATCATCATAATCATACCATGTCGGCGGTACGATATAGGAGTGTTCAAACAATGTGGTTATTATGATAACCGTTTTAACTAGTCGTATTTGGCTCATTTGGATTGGTTAATTAGATAATTGGTTTGGTTTGGTTAAATTTTTTAGCTTGTTTGATTTAAGTGGTTAGACACTCCTAATCAATCAAACCAAATTAATCAGTTAAGTAATTATTCATATATCTAATATATATTATATGCACATACTTAATACTTGGCATAACCATTCAAGAGCCAAACATTTCTTCCTTTTTGTCTCATCTATAATACAGCTCAATATTGTTCCTACACTAATATTTGTATTTGTTGAGTGTAAACCATGGTATATTAACGCTCAATTCAGATAAAACTCATATAATATATTAGATGAAAACTTGAAATGAAAATCTTCTTCAACCTATGATTATTGCTAAGAGACTAATTCAATTCACACAATCACAATAATTAATTAACTCCATACTATTTACATATATTTTTGTTAGGTAAATACTTCTATTGACCGTAAGATAATTGTATTCGTTGCATGTAATTCTGTAAGAGTTAACTATAACTTTGTGTTCATTGTAATGTTTTATTCATCATATAAATTGTGAACTGATGCATTAAGTGAAATTTTTCTCACTTAATGATAAGTGATGTTATATTAGTTAATCTGATTAGTCAGTTAATCAAACTGATTAGACTTTAGTTTGGTTAATTTGATTGTTATATTAGTTTGGATGGTTTGATTATGATATTATAGAATTTCTGCTTGTTTGGTTTGGTAATTACCATGATAATCATTTGAATATCCCTAATAGGTTTAGGCTCCCGTATTATCTTTTTTATGCAAGAGTTGAACTATGATTAACTATAATTTCAACATAAAATCATTTATCACTAATTTTTCCGGTACAATTTTCGATATGAGGTTATAATTCTTTGTTTTTCCCGTTCCAACTGGCCGTAATGGCTCGAGTTGTTTGTGATTAAAATCGTAACTAAAACTGGTTAGGCCGACACAACACGTCACGCACGACGGTGGGGTTGCCTAGTTTCTACTGCAATGTACTATCACCATAATATGCAGTATTGACTATTATAGTGTAGGGTTGCGTCGTGTAGCAGAGCATAGTGTGTGTTCTTTGTTCCGTTTTGGCTTAATTATATAGTTAGTCAGACAGTGTTTCACTTGGTTGTGTTGTCTTTGTCCAAAAGTATTTGGGGTTTTTTAGTGGAGTGTAGAATTTTGGACCACAAATCCGACCACGTGGGGAACATATGGAGTCCATGTGAGAATTAGGGTGTGAGTTGGGGTTGGACCCACAACTTAAAGAAATCCAACCGGTTTAACCCGACCCGAAATCATGTTTTCTGGAGTCTTAGCCAATACGCAATTTTAACGATATGAAAAGATTGAGCCATGGTTAAACTTGTAGTTTCAATGCAAACTACCAACTATTAACTTTTCGGATACGGTCATACAATTCTTGATTCTAACATGTTAATGACCATGAATCAAATGTTCAGCACTTTATGGCGATGCACATAATGATAATTATTTGAATAGTAGTTAAATTGTTCATTACTTTGTTGGGAGTGTTTTTAGTTGCTAAGTGATCATATTTGTATTTGACCCAATTTGATTCAGTCAAATATTAATTCAGTGTATTTTCTTCAACATTCATAAGATTCACGAGACGAAATACTGGACTGCATTATATTCAATCTGATTCAAATATCTGTATGATTTGGTATTGTGCCGTGAGGGACAAAACCTTTACACACCACTACAGGTAAATTCGAACTAGTTTAATTTCAGTTTTGCCCCCTTATCGTTTGTCTTTATGTTCAAATGAATGGGTAAAAGTGGTATTTTCATTAAAAAGTGACTTTATTCGTTTAAAGATTGATAGACCATTATTTGTACATGTTTTTGCCACCATTCTTGAACCGTTTAAGAGTCGATTCTCGTGTTTTAAGCCGATTTCATGCTAGGTTGTGCATTGATGTCATATTTCAGGACGTGGCGTGGACATGGAGGCGAGGAAGCGAGGTTCGGGTCAAAACATGGAGAATTGGCGCCTAGAGGAGTTGGAAGCTGAAATACCCGGTCAGACACTAAAATACCCGACCGGGTAATTGTGAAGGGAGTGACCAGGTAAAATTGTTTTGGAGGCCATAGGAGCAGAAGGAGTCCCGACCCCAAGATCGGGTATTCCCCCTTCCCCAGCGCGCATCGTTTTGAAATACCCGGTCGGTCCCCAAGAATACCCGACCGGGTATTTGGAGCGGGTATCACGCGCTGCTGCTGCTTGCCTGTTTCAAGCAAGGTTTGGGCTCTTTGGCAAAGAATTCGAGTTTTGGAGAAAGAAAGCAAAAACCTAGAGAGAGAAAGTGACAAACAAAGCCTCCAAGTGACCTAGATCGAGATTCAACACCATTGAAACTCGATTGAAGCTTGGAGAAGTGTCGATTGACAACCAGAAGCTGTTTTTCATCCTTCACAGAATGACTTCCGCATCTGAAGCTGATTTCTAGACTCTCTCTCTCAATTGGGTATGAAGAACCCTAGATTTGTATGTTAGGTTTGGTTGTATGAACCCAAGTACATGTTCTTTGACGTTGATTATATACAATTGAGGCATGATTTTCTGAACTGCATGAATCCTTATCAAATTCCTGTGTTTCCTACTTTGACCTAGAAAGAGAATATATGCATAGGTTGATAGATCACGGTGGTGAATTGACTACTTTAGTAGAGGAGTCAATTCACTGCTCTGTACTGGATTTACTCTAGTAGATGAGGTTTTGAACGTTAGGGCCTCAGTTTGTTTACTCCGGTGGAGGTTAGTCGCCCGCCGGGTACTCAGGTTGAGAGGGTCTGGAGACCTTTAGTCGAGACTTCAGACTGAATAAGAACCTTCCGCAGTATAACTGTCATCGAATCTGGACTTGGAGAATTATAACCCGACTTAACTGCAATCTAGGGTGAACCATATCTGGGTGATCTCTCTCAAACTTGAACTACAACTTTTAATGCTTTGTGTTCATTCAGTTTAGTTAACACTTCTCTACAGTTAAACCGCTAAATAATAAGAACTTCACGGAGTAGTCATCACATCTATAACCTGGGTTGACAATTAAAGCTAAACCCGCTATACTACGCATTAGTAGGTGGTTACACTTGTCCACTTTCTAGTGTGACAGAACAAGCGAGTCAAAATACAAACAGATAAACCAAATAGTGTAATCTTATACTGCTACTATTATTATATTAATTACAATGCATCCATATATAACATTCGGATAAACAAAAAAGTTGTTATATAGTCATTTTTTGCCATCACCCATCTAGTCTGAAATAGGTAGATGAGTTTTAACATTTTTCCAAAAGAAATTTGTATATTTAATAGATCACGGTGACTTCATTTCTTATGGGCAATTTTTCAAAATACGAGTTAAAAACAAAGGTGATACCTGATATCAGGATGATAATGAGTGGTATGAAATTGTTTTACTTGAAATATATTGAAATTTAATACAATTTTTTAGATGATACCTGATAGTCGTTTTTTGCCATCACCCATCTGGTCTGAAATAGGTAGATGTGTTTTAACTGCAAAGTCCACGAGGAGCGGTTCCCCTGCATAGCTTATATTTACCATTTCCCCTCAGAAATTTGTATATCTAACAGATTACGGTGAACTCGTTCCTTATGGATAATTTTTTTCAAAACACGAGTTAAAAACGAAGATGGTACCAAGTGATATCAGGTATGTAATTAGTGGTATGACATTGTTTTGCTTGAAATATATTGAAATTTAATCCAATTTCTTAGATCACAAAAAAACCTGTTTCATCTGCATAAATATTTTTGAAATCCAAATTTAAATAAAGAAGAATATCAAATTCGATTAAAAAATAAAAATAATCATTAATATTCATCTCTTGAATCTGATCCCAATTAAAACTATAGGTCCCTGATTATGCAAATGTGCAGCAACCCTACTTAATTATCCCTTTTGTCCCCAACGAAAACGCAATAGTGAGAGTTCTGACGGTGATAACAAGGCTTTTTTTTTTTTAACAATTATTATATGATTAAATTATGTTATATGTTGTGTCGTTTCCCCCATCGCAGCAAGAAGACAGGCAAAGGACGTAACTCACTGATTTTGTATCTTTGTTTATGAGCATCTACAAGTAGAAAAGTAGGTTTAGATTTATTTAGATATCCCCCTAATGAGTTTCCCCCCATCTGCTGGACAGCCCGGCCCCACTCGCAGGCGGATTCGATGTTCAATGGCACCTCAAGGCTCAACTCTCAAGCCTATACTCAAT